GACCCTAGTGAGGATTAAGCGGTGTATAGATAATGGATGGATGGATATACATTATAGGCTATAATGCAAATAAGAACTGATCAAATGCAGATTGATTTTACACATTTGCAGACCAAGTTGTCTGCATTTTATTTTTTATTTTTTTTAAACACTCTGAGAAATTTGGCACCAACTTCTCTCCAGCTCTGAATCTGGCAGCTACATGTTGACAATTGTAAAAACCAAAGAAAAAAAAAAACCTGCAGCGGGACTTGAAAGGAAAATCTCAAGGTTAAAAAAACATTCAGTTAGTTTATTCGGCTAGTTCACAGCATGTAACTGTGACAGAACACCTGCTCCTTGCTAACTCCTCTCTGATGTTTCTGCCTTTCTGCTACTGTCCTCTTCCTCACCTGCAGACGGCTTAAATAAACCCGTCATATCTTAACATGCTTTGTGCTGTCAACATGTATTTTTATTTTAGTACCTATTCGGCTGTATTGTTTTTCTTTCAATCCTTGTTTTGGCAATGAAGTTGAGTGCTACAGACCTATTGAATACCTTTATAAAGGCATTGAAGCTATTACACTAACGCCTCGGGGTGAGGGGGAAAAGTACCAACCCTATAAAGAGCAGCACACCAAGAAAGTTCCCAATAGCCACTGGCAACCAGTTACTGTTTATATCCAGACTCATTGAATATATCCAGTGAAGACTTTGAAGAGAATAAGTTTCTAGTGGAGCACAAGTTCTTGCAATGACAGGAGGCAATGCTTTGAGTATGGATGTTGCTGTAGAGAAGCTACAAAAGCTAAAACATGCATCCTTTATCCTACAGAAGATCTGCACAGTATTCAAGGTGAACTTCCAAGATTACTACCGAATGTGAAATAAAATTACAATCTCCCCTTTTGCCCCTGACTCATGGTGTTGGATAATAGCTAAAACCATATTTCTGCAAAGCATCATAATGTGACTTTTTGGATATTTAATTAAAAAAAAAAAATCCTCTTAGGCATTTGTGTGAAACACAGGAATCCTTGATTTGAGGCCAAGACCATGTTTTCAGAGGTCACGAGTTTCGAAAAAGAAGACAAATCTAAAGCAGCAGTCATCCTTGTGAAACTGATGACAGTCAGATTTCAGCGCAAATACTGAGTTATGTTCTGAATGCTTCCAAGCAAAAATGATCTTGAAGAGCTTTGTACTTTTGATAATTTCACTTTGAAAAGAAGCAGATATAGCCTGGAGATAGTTTGCTGATATTTTTGATGCTCCTAAGATTAGGATGAAATTTCAGCAAGAAACGTTGTCGCCCATGAAAGTTTAAATGCCTGTAATGTGGAACATAAATTTAAACAGAAAAGACGGTTCAGCATCTTTTTTTTTTACCATCACGCTCTCCTCTGCTCAGTGGACTGTGTATAGTGGATTTTGTCCCTGTTGTTTTTTTTTTGTTTTTTTTTACATATCCAATAAAAGATTTTCAGTAAAGGCTCTAAGTAATGTTGCTGTAATTACTGTAGCCTCTGTAAACACCTGTCAAAGCACTTGCCTTAGTGTTTGCCTTCAGGCAAGAGCACCAACTTTAAAAATTCATACTTGGCAGTGCAGTGTAATCAATGTTTGCGACCATAAACAACTCTTTTTACACAGCTAAACCAGAGCCCGTTTCTTTAAGCAGATGTTCTTCGTATTGCACTGCATATTATTCAGACTTATATCTAGACATCCAGGCGCTTCTGATAAAAAGAGTACCTTTAATGCAGTCTTGCTACACGGGAGGAAATACTGAATTTATGGAGCATATAGTCATTTATTTTAAATTATGTCAGCAAGGGGCTGATTCAACTCTCGCAATTGTGTTTAGACTGCATTTTGTATTATTGTTATGCAAATATCCCATCAAGAGCCATTCAGTTAATGTTGGCAAGGGTTTTATTGTGGCCTCTGCTCCTCCTTGCCAAAGCTTTTTGCAGTATTTAACATAAATCATGATTTTTGAGGCCTTCTTAAAACTTAATGAGACGCTTGTGCAGCTGTCTTTGCAGCTGTGATTTACTTACTTTAAAGTTAAAAGGCAGTTTTCGGTGGAATTACGTCCATGGAAGGGTTTCTACCAAGAAAAGTTGTTGGATCCAACGACCTGGACCAACCTGAAGGGTGGACATCCACACTGCATGTGCAACTTGAATGATGGGTACAATAAAAGGGCAGGTAAGGAGACAGACAGAGCAGGTAAAAACAAGGGGGGAAAAAAAAGTCATTTTTCCTGCAGGGCTGGAGCAGACCACCAACAGACTGGTGGTACCAATAAGACAGGGTCCCACAGTGTTTGTGATAACTTACCAATGATGGGGAGCTCAGCTGTACCCAGGATGTGGTACATGTCAGCTGTGCTTTGAGAAGCCTGGACTCATGTTGTTGACTTAGCAGAGCCACAAATGTTGGAAGTTGTCCAACCATTGTATCCGTTTTTTCCAATTGAACCACCTTGCTGTAGTCTAGAAAACATCTTCCCCGATGCTAAAGCCCAGTAGAGGGTCAACGTACTCCCATAGACTGTATAAAAGATG